GTCAGCACGCTCGACGCGTATTCCAGAGGTCCTGCTTTGAAAAAGTACCTGATGACTCTACTATGGCGCCCGAACTAAAAGGGGTTTGGACGATGAATCTCGAACCCCAGGATTTGGGTCTCCAGTCGCCCTTTAAAAGGTGGAGTATAGAAGGTATTTCTCCCGACTTCTCAGTATGCCTTCGTAGCTCGTATTCGAGAGGCCCGTGGTTCGTGGTTGAAATCCCGGCGAAGGCGTTGCTCATTTTTCATCTCTCCTGCTTCAAAATAACCTAATGTCTCTACAAGGTTAGGTTATTTGAATAAGGCAAGACACTAAAGTGCTTCATCATTACACTAGTGCCTGAAGCGAAAAATATATCCGAGAAGAACTTTTTAAAGAAAACTTGGAAACTGGACCGTATTTACGCTACAAATGACGAAAACAATGAACACAACCTTCCAACCAATTCGAAGATGGAAGATAAATGCAAATAAATCATATCCTAATCATTCAACAGTAACCAACAGGCAGTGCAAAACGTGCAACGGTATACATATACGGAATCAGCCAAAGCCCAGACTGAAAGAAAGAATTGTTCATATTGTTAAAAGCAAAAATAAATACATAGTATTAAAAGATATCCTAACTTTCTCAGAAAAGAATTTTCTTTCTTTTTTTCGTTTTAATATAATTAAATTTCATTTCTCCCAAAATTCTCGGTTATTTCATAAAACATTTACAGCTGGATTTTAATTAACCTGTTGTACCGAATATTTCCTAAATTTTAAGTTAAGAATAGTTACCTCTGATGTTTCATTAAAGCTTTTAATATATAATTCTCCTTATTAAGGCTTGATGCATTTCATTGTCATATTTTTTGTCACTTTATTGTCTAATTTGAAATATGATTTATTTCCATGGTGGTGAATGAAGGGATTTTGTTATTCCACCATGGAAGTCTTGTTTCTATTTCTTTAGAGAAATTTCTGACGTTTCTAATAGGTCACTCAGATGTTTAATTTATAGTATAAAGTATTTCTCCCGCATTCTTAGCATGCCTTCGTGGTGTAAACGGTCAGCACACTCTGCGCGTATTCGTCAGATCAGAGTTGAGTCCCGGCGAGGGGATTGTCATTTTTCACGTCCTTCGCATCAGAAACCAACGTATCTAACAGTGACGCCAGAACTAAAATAGGAGCGAATAATGATTTTCCACCACCAGGATTAGGTCCCTAATCCTCAGTCGATCTTTAAAGGGCAGTATCCCCTTAGAGCAGAATAGTGAATCAGTACACAAGCTAGTTTTGTTTATTTGAACAAAGGCAGGTTAGAAACTGAAGAAAATATTCGATATATTGTGGTAAATTTTGATTGTTGCATGTTGTGTCAAATTGTTCCATGTCAAAAAAAAAAAAAAAAAAAAAAAAGGGGGGGGGGAGAGAGCGTGTCGAGTTCAAACCTGAGCTGAATGGGAAGCATCTATAGTACTTCTGTGACTGAGAGTTTTGTGAGATAAATTTTCTTCACTGTCATCAAAGTGGACAAATGTTTCATCGACGTAACGTATCCAAAACGTAAAGTTTATTAAATACTTTTGTTTCAAAATTTAGTACATGTAAATATCAACGAGAATATGATTGCGTGGACTCCCTCTGGCTAATGTCTTAGTTTGCTGATAAGAATTATTCAAGAAAATAAAATGCATTTGGTTGTGAAATAGTTGGATAAATGAGAATGATTCTTTAATATGTGAGTAATGAATTTCTTCAAGCTTATTTGTTGACAATTTAGAGCACCTTTCATCAGAACATTAGAGAGCAATGATTTAACATCAGACGAAACCATGAGAAAGTTGAAAGTTAAGTTATTTTTAAGTTTCTTTACAAATTCTAATAATTGCTTTACAGTGAAATTACAGATTTATTGGATAATAAAGAGAAGATCTAGAGCTCAGTTATGTGGCTTGTTTTAAAGAGAAATTGGAATTTGTCTTCCACCAATTCCACTCATCAAACTGAAAAATAAGTCAGTAGTTCGTCCACTGTCATTAGCATTGACCATTTAAAACAATTTGTATATGTAACCGGACATAAATTTGAAATATTTGTATAATTCTACATATTCGTATTACTCAGTCTTTGGAAGGAAGCTGTCTTGGAAGATACATTGTACTGTGAGCTTTTTTTGCGCACTTGAACATCGATTCATGAAAAAGCTGTATAGATATCGTTACCGACCTCCTCCTTTCGTACCTGCTGAAGTATCTTCCAGGATCATTTGATATAATGGAATGTGCTACTCTTTGTATATGACACATGACTGCTTCCAGAGTATATTTTTGCATTCAAAGACTGTTTTCAACTTCAGTCTTAGTAGACCAATGTGTTTTAGCACATATTTAACATTTCTTTCAAAATTCACATTTATAGATTAGTAATAATAACGTAAATTGAAAGAAAAACTTATAATGAAAAGTACTGCGGCATATATTACACTATTAACCTAAATTCACTGTTACATTTAAGGATAATGTTTATTCGTACTATGGATGGTGAACTGTATTCAGGAGCTGGTTGACTTTATTTGAAAAAAAAAAAAAAAAAAAAAGATTATCATCACAAATATATTTATTTTATTATTCATTTAATAAACTTTTCTTTTTTATAGATGAGCGATCTGGCCCCTAAACATTTTAAATTCTCCATCACAAAGCTGTAAGATCTCTTACAGGAATTACACAGAACAAAAGAATACTCAATAACGATTATGTAGACGAGAGTAAAAACTCGTTAGCAGCACCGCCTACTCCTAGTCACTACTAAACTATGTTTCGAGTTGAAAATAAAAAGTGGATGTCGATGATTGTAAATATGGTGTGGAAAATACGCTGCACGTCTTGCTGGGATAATAGCTGACGTCCCCTGCAATAAAAGTAATTAAATTAGTATAGACATTTAATTAGAAGAGGCATACGTCAATCTTCAATGTAAAAATTTAAAATAAGGTTACACAGCAAATTTATTTTCGCGTATGTTTGGAATAAAATTCTATTGATTTGGAGGGCTAACAGACCCAGTCCTTCTTCAAGGGGGAAAAAAAAAGAATAAATATATAAAGAAAGAAGAAAACCTCTTTTCAGGAGGGAGGGGGAGCTTGAAGAAGATGGGCTTGTGTTTAATCACCATTAATATCGATATATTTTTTATATAAAATGACACTTATAGCAGGAACATAAATTTCCGTCCTTCAAAATAAACCCTTGATAAAATAATATTTAAAGTATTTTATGTTAAACCTAACATAAAACGAATTACAATTTTAATTTTTACTGTTCAGAAGGTATTATATAATATCAAGACATGGCGTTTCAGAAGATAACTGCGCAATCGTCTTTTTCTACTGTCCGTCAACAGCGATACAATCCTAATTCAGGGCTTAGGAAACAGAAGAGTCCCTCTTGCGAGTTCAACCTCAGAATGAAGAGAGAAAGGTTAATTTAGTTTTCAATTTTTTACAACCTCCCTCTCTAGCTATAGATCCGATGCCGTTCTGATGAGGAATCAGCAGTTAAGTTTCCTGGGACGTCGTTTTCTGCGAAGGGATTAAGACAGTGGTTTCCAACCTGTGGGTCGCGCCCCCCAGGGGGGCGCGAGACTGTTGCAAGGGTAGCATGCAGCTGTTTCCAAAATATCATTTTCGAATATAAACCAAAAAAGTCGAATAGGTGTCAAAAAATGAATCAGCAGTATACGTAATCCACAATCCTCGCCGCGAATTTTGCGGGTACAAATGCTAACATCCAATCTGTTACAACTGGACTCTGAACTCCCAGCGCCATCTAGCGAACTTTAGAATTAATTCCTAAGTAAAAAACTTTGAACTCGATTTGCGTAGGAGGAGACAGTCGAACTGCTACGCAGTAAAATTGGAACCGCTTTGTATCTGAAAGCGCGTTTAATTATCATGGATGTTAAGTGTAAATCAATTATGACTGTATATATGTATATAATAATAATAATAATTTTATTGTAATTTTTATGTTGTAGTAGTATTAATTATATATTTTTTTTTGTTTTGTTATTATATTTCTTATAATAAATATATTATATTTTTACATAATATTGTATATTTTTACATAATATTGTATATTATTTTGTAGCCCATTAAATAAATTATAATATCAGTTGAGTATTTATGAAATTTGATTTTAAGATAAATTAACGGGACGCAACAATTTGTTTTTTAAAGGGGGGCGCACCAATTTTTTTTAAAAGGGGGGCGCCAATACAAAAAGTTTGGAAACCACTGGATTAAGAGGTAATGAATGAGTCAATGCAAGGCCGAAGAATGGTAAACACTAATGGAGTATCTGGTTAACTTAAGCTTGGAACTTCATATGTAGTCGGTGTGGCATAAATTTAAATGTTTTCTTTTCGGCGGATTTGCTCATAGGGTACTGGGAAATCCAAACTCGATCTCCTCATTTAAATTGGTATTCAGGTTTTCGTCTTGTAACAGCATATTCTTTTCGATACTCTTGTTTCTTTTCAACCAGATCATTTATCTGGTTACTATGGTTGCAAAATCATTTCAAATATGGGGTAATTTCTGCTACAAAATTATCATTGGCGGTAACATGCCTAAGATCATGTGTTACGTCATCCAGTGCAAGTAGCTTTCTGCCAAATTGGAGGAATTCAGCAGTCTATCCCATTGTTTCGCATTTATAAGCATTCATTGCAAAACGGCCCATCAACGGCCGAGCAGTAAAGTTGCCGAAAACTGGTAGTTCCAACCTGGGTTTGATTCCAAGCAAACGGCCTGGTTGCATAGGCGTTTTCGTGGTTTTCCCATGTGTAACGTGTAATATGAGCCAGGTCCCGTGATGAAGTCCTCCACGAAGGCATCCTTCCCATTAGACCGACAGTGCTTACCATAATTAACTAAATCCAACCAAACCATTGCAAAACGAGCTTTGGAAGCTTTTCTATCCAAGAAAATACTTATCGTCTACAAGTATGGCTAACCTAGGTTTTATATCCCTATTTTTTCGCTCTGCAGGATTTTCTCAAAGGTGATACAGTAAAGTGAACGCTTGGTGAATGGAAAGAAGAAAACACACCTTTTGGATAACAACGCTAACGAACAGAGTTCCATTATCATTGATTAGCTTTCGAGGCAATTCATATCGTAAGAAAAAATTTATTTTTCAATTAATTTTATGGTACATTCCCTTCCAGTAGAAATGGGTAAAATTGATGTTTGGGGCAACCCGCATATTTTCGGATTTGAAGGTTTGTAAAGATTATACTCATCACGAAATTTTAAAATAATCTGCAGTGTATTATGCATGCCTGCGTAATAATACCTTTGGAAATTCTGTGGTATGTCCCTTCAGCACCATTATGTCCTGTTGTAGGGGCATCATGATGCTGTATAAAAATTCTTTCTCACTCGTGTTTTGGTACTACTAGTTGAGCTTCCTCTGATTCAGAATCTGGGGAATAGTGATACAGAATTCCTTGATTCATTATATAACCTCGCCTGGTCCAATTAAAAAAGAAATTTCATCTTTTACTTCACTTTCAAAAGATTTTATGACCTTTTTTAAGATTTGTATCCATCAGCTGTTCTCCATGAACTTCTGCTGCATTTCTGGCGGGCGTTTCAATGGTTATTGTACAAATTTCGCATGATTCTCTTTCATGTTGCACACAGGATGTGACAACATATTGGCTACAAAATTAGCTTTTCCAAGGCTGTATTGCATCTTCAAATTATAAGACTGAGTTGCATAGCTCGCTGAGGAAGTCTACCCCGAGGTGACTTGGAGCTTAAAATCCATTTCAACGGTTCATTATCAGATGCCACAGTAATCTCTTGACCATCAGTATAGAGACGGAATTTATTCAAAGCCCGTACAACAACAAGGCTTATCGTTCTGTTGTAGAGTAGTTTCTTTTGGTGGCAGACAACAAATGGCTTGAATATTCTATTGGATGTTCCTCTGAACCTTTTCCTTGCAATAGCACGGCACCCAAAGCATAGTTACTAACATCCGTCCAAATAATGTAAGGTTTCGTTGCATCATTTTGCTTTAAGATGAGAGGGCTAACGAGAAGTTGTTTTAATGTCTGGAAAGAATTTTCTTCTTCTAGTGACAGAATATAGAGTCCTCCATGTCATAGAATGACAAATGTACTATTGAGGCCTATGCTGTACATTTGTGACATTAAAGCCATTTGAAAATCGAATTCATCTGGAAGAAAAATGGCATGCATATACAAATTTCAGTTTAACCATAAAACCGATTTTCAGTTAGGAATCCTAAGAAAATACTTAACATTACAAAACTTAAATGACAGTTATATGAGTTGCTAGAGACATTAGGTATTTTTGAAGCAGAAGACTTGAAAAATGAGCAAACGCCTTCGTCGGGAATCGAACCGCGGACCTCTGGAATATGCGCCCAGCGTTTAAAGGGCGACTGGGGTTTTTAGGGGACCCTATCGCCAAATCCTGCATGTGGAGATCCATCATCCAACACCCTTTTAGTTCGGGCGCCACTGTAGAGACATTGGGTATTTTTGAAGCAGGAGACTTGAAAAATGAGCAAATGCCTTCGCCGAGAATCGAAAAGCCCAGGAGACCACCAAATAATTCGCCAAGAAATGGGGGGTGTTATGAGTGGTGGAATAATGGGTAAAGGTTGGGCTTTGACTATGAATAAATATGATTAATACGGCGAAACTGATCCTGAATCTTGATTCATATTAGCTGAAAAGCCATTTTACCGAACTTGGAACTGAAAGATTCGGAAAGTTTTTACTATTGACAAAAGCCGCTTTCTATAAAAAAGGAATATTAAATATACCCCGAATGATGGGAGTTTGGTCGTTTCTGACACTGGACATTGACTATATGCTTCCATACTTCTTGCATCTTATTCTTTGAATGCAGGGCAGGTAACTTACTGGCTATTCTTCAATTCGATGAATGGCCACACCCAGAGCCGAAAAATGCATTTTGAGTTTGAATAAATTACTTTTGATAAAAATGTCTTAAAAGGTGTAATAGACAAACGTCGTATTTGCTGGCGCAAGTTTCGTTACACTATAAAGTACTGATATTTATGAAAGAAAATTTATTGTTTCATAAATAAACAGAAGTCAACTTAATTACTATAGTATTAAATTTTTGAGGTACAAGACAATAGGTATTAATTTTCCAAAAATGTTTGAGTTCTTTCTTATAACCATTAGGTTTACTCAAAACAATTTGAAAGTGTTAAGTATTAAGAAATTTTGCTAAGACGCAAAGTGGTGGAAATGACTACTAAAGAAATCAAAAGAGATAACTATCCAGATAGAACTTTCTTTAAATCATCTAACTTTCTTTCATTTAAGCGATTTCTAATTTCAGGCAATTGGATTCTTCGGTTACCATCACAGATGGAAATGTCTTTCTGCACTTTTATTCCATTTTCCAAGGACGTTCCTCCGAGCTTTTGAACTTTAGTCTTAAAATTTTTGTCGACCCCTTCCAAATTTTTGGTATTCTTGCATTTTCAGGGGAATCAAGGACAGTTTATTGAAGACATGGGGGGGGGGGGGGGAATCATCATTTCTGGGGGGGGGGGGGGGGGTTTATCATTACTGAAACCAGAATTCTAATTTGAGATCATGATTATTATTATTCGAAATTTTGCATTTTGGATCAAATAATTTTGTATTATGAAAAATCACTTTCTAAATGGTCGACTAGTTTTTTTGACTTCGAAACAGTGCAAATAATTTGGAATGTTAAGGAAGTGAATTTACCATTAAGAAATAGATAACTTTAGCGGCCTTTCGATGTGATATTAGTCTCCCAAAATATCATATGTCGTGGAATATTCCTTTTGGTAATGACGCATATAACA